GATCTGTGGCGTTCACACGGAAGATCGGAACTAAATCAAGAGTGAGTCTCAGTACTGCTCGGACAGAACTGAGACATGTTTGTTTACTGCGATAGCTAAGTATGGGTCGAGGGCAAACATAAGCAAAATGATAAGATAAGATGACCTGCTGATAGCGTGAATCTCAACACTCCCCCTCACGCCAAAGCGGGGAATTCTTCGACTCCTAGAAGCTCGCGGAAATGAACGAATTTGGGACGTGAAAGTGACTTGGTGAATATATCGGCAATCATGTCCTTGGTCGGGACATAAATGATCGTCGCGGCGCGGTCATTGACAGTTTGGCGGATGAAATGGAATCGGTTGTCTATGTGCTTGGTGCGGGCATGAAATGCACCATCCTTGGTAAGCACAATAGCTGATTGGTTGTCGCAGAACAGAGTTGTCGGCTTGTTGATTGGAACGGAAATTTCGGCAATAAGTTTCCGAAGCCAAAGCAGATTTTTGGAAGCGTGAGTAAGCGCGACATATTCAGATTCTGTGCTCGAAAGAGTGATGAGTGGTTGCTTCTTTGAGCTCCAATCAACCAGACTAGTCCCAAGGTAAAACGCGTAACCGGAAATGGAGTGACGGTCGAGGTGCTGAGAGAAATCAGCGTCCGAATAACCGGTTAGCGTGAGATCCGATCCGCCTAAAACCAATCTATGATTGCGCACGCCCGAGAGGTACTTGAAGACACGTCGAAGAGCTTTCAAATGCGTCGAGCGAGGCTCTTGCATAAATTGGGAAAGATTCGATACGTGGTAAGTGATCTCCGGGTGCGTGATTGTCCCGTACATGGTGAAGCCAACCCCTTTGCAATATTCAGCCGTCTCGTTGCGCGTGAGAACCTGTGATGAAACTCCGGGGGAATCGTAACTGAGATCCACGCCGGCTTCCATTGGTGTCAAGTTCAGAGGCGCGTCAGATAAGCCCATTTGAGCTAGAATCTGCTCGATGTAGGCCGTCTGACTCAGGGAGATAGTTCTCGTCTTCCGGTCTCTCTGAATATGAATACCGAGAAGCCAATTTATTTCCCCGAGATCAACGACTTCAAAGTGTTTGTTGAGCTGCTCTTTGATAAGGCTGACATGTTCAGGGGTCTTTCCGACGATGGTGAAGTCGTCAGTGGCCGCCGCGACAATTGTGGACTTGTCCCGACTGATGAATACAGCTTGATCGGCTTGCAAGACTGTGTAACCGAGCGAGATGAACGTCTCGCGTAATTTCAGGTACCACGATCTGCCGCCTTGCTTAGTGCCGTACAAGCTCTTGTTGAGCTTACAGACGAGACGCCGTCCAGAGGACACGGAGGGGAGGGGTTTAGAAGAGAATTTCTCGTAGTCTTGTGGGATTTGCATGTAAATCGTTTCATCAATCGGCGCGTTGAGATACGCGTTTTTGACGTCCGCTTGATGGATTTCCCAGTCGTTGACGGCACCGAAAGTGAGCAGGACACGTAGGGTCGCATGGCGTACAACGGGGGCATAGGTATCGGTGTAATGGATTCCGTATACCTGAGTTCGGCCGTCGGCGACAAGTCTGACCTTATATTTGTTGATTTGATTAAGCGCGTCCCGCTTGATGGTGAGTACATAGTGATTGCGAATGATGTTTGCGCCCATTGGAGCCTCGACGATGTCCCAGGTATTGAGTTTTTCAAGCTGGGTGAATTCGGCTTGCGCCGCGGGCATCCAATGTTTGGCATCAGGGCCAGTGATGGCTTGACGCAAACTCATAGGCACGCTCTCGGTGACCATCGCAAACTCGACTACGAATGTATGGTCCTCTTCGTCCTCTGCCTCTAGGTCTAGCTCCGGATCATCTGGCTCTTCCTCCTCCAGCATCTGGAACATTGCCGCAACATCCTCTGTGCAAGATTCCGAGTTTGCAGCCGCATTGAGCCCGTGGTAAAATCCCGGTGCTTTTCGTGTGCGTTCACCTCGCCCCGTGTTCGGTTCGGGTTGGCCGAGGCGTTCGACTTCGGTCTTGCGTTTGCGGGCATGCGGAGGAGGTAGTGCTGGCTCGTCATTGACGGAAGGCTCAGGCTGCGGGACCTTTTCTGGCGCGGGGTTAGGTTCATGTGGAGGCGACGCGCGGAGGTTTTCAGGGACAGGAGGCTCAACAGTATCAGTGAGTCCTCTATTCTGTTCATTCCCTGTCGCTTTGTCGCTCTTCGGGGGTGTTTTCGAAGCGCTCGATGGCTCGGGACTTTCGAGAATGTCATCATCCCACTCCCCCTCAATCGAGGCAGTCCCGGGCTCCGTGGCCGCTTTTTCATCGAAATACACATCCCTTTCCACTGTCACCCTTCGCTTACCCGGCCAATAGATCTGTAGGCCCTTCGCCTCTTCGTCATAGCCAACGAAATTCACCAGGGTCGCGCGTTTCTCAAGATCTTTCGCGCCCTTCACCTTCACCCAAACTGGTGCCCCCCACGTCAACAACTTTGAAAGGTTCGGTTTCTTCTTTGTTGCCGCTTCGTGTGGGGTAATGTGACTCGGTAGGGCAGACGTCGGTGATCGATTGCGCAGCCAGATGGAGTGCCGCCAGGCCTCGGCCCACAAGAACTTCGGAAGCCCGGCTTCGATTAGCAATGCACGAGTTTGTTCTACGTGCGTTCGCTGGGCTCGTTCTGCGATGCCGTTGGAGCTGGGGGTGTCATGGACAGTCAGGTGCCGTATGGCCCCTTGCATCTCCAAGTGTTTATTGAAGGATTTCGAGGTGAATTCTCCCCCTTTATCCGAGCCCATTATCCTCACGACTGCTCCCCCTCGCTGTCTTTTCACCCAGGCTTCGTAGTTTTGGAAGTTTTCGAACGCGTCGGATTTGAGCGGAATGAAGTAGCCCTTCTCCTCGTGTGTCGATAAATCCATGGGTGTCATCGCGTAGCGGGCGCCGCCAAGTGACTTGACAGACATCGGACCTTTCAGATCAACCACCACCTTGTCGCCGTAGCCCGTCGGCCGTTCGCTGGTCGCCGTCCTTGCTAGAGGCTGCCGCGCGGCTTTCGCTTGCACGCACACGGCACAGAACTGCGGCTCGGAGGACATGTCGAGCTTGATGCCCGTAATCGTGCCCGCCTTAACCGCCTGTTTGAGGGTGTTCTGGTCCGCATGCCCCATCAGCTTATGGAATTGGAAGATGGTGAGTTGGTGCGATGCGACGTAGCCGCCTTCGGCAATTGGTGCGGTCATTGCTGATTTGGAAGTACGGTACAGGCCACGCGTGAGCGGGAAAACTGCAATGACCTTGCACGCTGGTTTAGGCGCTTTAATGACGCAGTGTCCGTCCTCCGTATGCATGGAATAACCGGCGCGGTCGAGGGTGCTGACGGAGATGAGGGTGTAGGCCATATGGGGTGAGTAATATGTGTTCAGTAGCGTCGCGCGGGTCGGCTTCTGATTTGGTCCCATCGGAAGATCCGTATTATAATCACCTTTCCCGGTCGCGCTAAAGCTTCGGCCATCTGCGGCGTGGATAGGGACGGGGATAATCTCCTTGAAGTTGGTGAAGTTGGCACGGTTGGGCGAGAAGTGGCGTGTCGCACCGGTGTCGACTATCATGTCGCAGTCGGTGGACAGGGTGGTGGCGTGAGCCTCGGTGTCATCGCGGAAATCGGAGGTGATCAGCAATGCAACATTTTCCGAGTTGCTTGCATGATCCTCCGTGAGGAACATATACGGGTCGTCCTCATCCGGTACACCTACGATCAGCGCAACGTCGTCAGCGTCGGCTGTCGCGGCCGTCTTTCCCTTGTTCTTCTTCGCCGCTTCCTGCTGTTTAACATACCAATCAGGCTTTTCATCCTCTTTCCCTCCCCCTGGTGCGAAGCAATTTGCTTTTGTGTGACCCTTTTTGGAACAATTTTTGCATTTCGGCTTCTCGCCGCTTTTACCACCTTTACCACTGCCTCCGCCCTTTTTGGCCGCTGACATCGCCGCATTGTCTTCGTCGAGTTTCTTGTCAACTGTACGGCTCAAGTATTCATTTGTAAGTTCTTGAATCAAGAGCGCGCTGTCGACTTGACGCGGTGGGATGGACATGCGGGCTGCCGCAGAGATTGTGGTTAAGAGGGATCGGTAGTGATCGGGGATGGAAGCTCGAATGTATGATCCAAATTGTAGGTCACTGAGTGGATTCCCCATCTTCGTGAGTATATCCCTCAGGTCCGACATTTCCGCGAGGTGTTTCTGCAAGTCATCGTCATCCCCGCAACGCATCTGCTGTAGTCTGGTGATGGTGTTTAGCTGCACCATATCGCCTCGGTTCTCGTTGAGCTCCGTAAGCTTCTCCCAGACTCGGCATGATGTTGGTTCGCCCTTGATTTGGGTGAATCGCGTGGGACTGACGGTTTGATAGATGATATCGCGGAGCTTTGACTCTTTCATCTCGTAGTCGTCCTGTTTCTTCTCGTGTGCTTCAACCTCGTCATCTGTCAATGTGATGGCTGAACCGGCTAGATACCAGTCGCCGACAGCGTCTTGGGTTATTTCTGCGGGTTTGCGCACAGTGCCGGCGAGATGACGGTGTAACCCCTTTGACTTCGCGTGAGTCGAAATGATCTCCGAGTAGTGTACCCAATTGGATGAGTCATCTGCAAGGATGGGAAGGGTTCGCTTTTTCTCATTGGCATCTTTGGCGTCGGGGCCCATAACCTGTGAAGATCTGTGGCGTTCACACGGAAGATCGGAACTAAATCAAGAGTGAGTCTCAGTACTGCTCGGACAGAACTGAGACATGTTTGTTTACTGCGATAGCTAAGTATGGGTCGAGGGCAAACATAAGCAAAATGATAAGATAAGATGACCTGCTGATAGCGTGAATCTCAACACTCACCGCTTTACTTGAAGATCATCTCCCCAAGAGGACGGCACGTGTTCCATACACCAGTGGTGCTTGCTACTCCACATTTTGGGCTTGTAAAATGTGGTGATTTGATGAGGCCTGGAGAAGGAAGAAAAATAAATGATTAGGACCTATGCACCGCCGGGGAATCGAACCCCATCTCACCATTTATTTGACAGCTGATGATATTTGGGAGCAAAGGAACGGTATGTGTTCCATACACTAGCGGTGCTTATTAGCTCCTTATTCAGCGTCGGAAAGTGCCTTGATTTCGTTAGTCCGGCGAGGGAAGAAAAGCAATTTTGGACGATGCCATGCATCGCTGGGGAATCGAACCCCGTCTCACCCTTTGAATTCGTCACGCACTTCGATAAGAGGTAGGGGTGTGTTGCATACACTAGCGGCGCTTACTGCTTCCCATCGCAGCCTTGTTAAGTGCACAGATTTCGCTAGTCCTGTGAGGGAGAAAAAAGGAAGAAAAACAATTTGGACGACGCCATGCACCGCCGGGGAATCGAACCCCGTTTCACCCGTCGAGTTTATTTCACACTTCGATAAGAGGTAGGTGTGTGTTCCATACACCACCGATGCTTGCTACCACCCATTTAAGCCTTGTTAGGTTCGTCAATTTAACAAGCCTGGCGAAGTAAGGTAAAAAGGCGAACGTATGAGCTATGCACAGACGGGGAATCGAACCCCATCTCACCGTTCACCTTGGTCGTACTCTTTCAAAGGGACGGTGCGTGTTCCATACACCAGCGGCGCTTACTGCTTCCCATTCCAGCCTTGTTAGGTTCGTCAATTAACAAGTCTGGCGAAGGAAAAACGAACGTAGACACAGACCATGCACCGGGGGGGAATCGAACCCCGTCTCACCGCTTTACAGCCTTACAGGAGGACGGCCTCAACAAGAGAACAATGTGTGTTCCATACACCAACAGTGCTTGCTCCCTCACATTTGGGCTTGTAAAATGTGGTGATTTAACGAGCCTGGCGAAAGAAGAAAAAGAATGTATTCAACGACACGCACATGCACCGCAGGGGAATCGAACCCCGTCTCACTGCTTTATTGGAAGATGGCCTTAAATAAGAGGACAGTGTGTGTTCCATACACCAGCGGTGCTCTCCATCTCTCATTTAAGCCTCCCTGGATTCATCGGTTTCATGAGCCCGGGGAAGGAAAAGAGTTGGCATACATCACTGTATTTACTATCTATGCACCGGCTGGGAATTGAACCCGTCTCACCGTTCATCTTAGTCCTGCTCTTTTAAAGGGATGGTGCATGTTCCATACACTACCGATACTTCCTAACTCTCATTTAAGCCTTGTTAGGTTCGTTGATTTAACGAGCCTGGCAAAAGAAAAAGAACGTAGATACAGACCATGCACCGCCGGGGAATCGAACCCCGTCTCACCCTCTCACTTGGTCCTAATCCTTCAAAGGGATGGTGCGTGTTCCATACACTACCGGTGCTTTCTACCTTATATTTCAGCCTCGTGAAATGCCTTCATCTTTGGAGCGAATAATAAAAGCCATTATGAGCGAACCCATGCACCACCGGGGAATCGAAGCCCGTCTCACCGCTTCACTTGGTGATCATCTCAACAAGAGGACAGTGTGTTTTCCATACACCAATGGTGCTTCCTACCTTCCTTCCAAATCTCGTTATGCTCGTCGATTTAACGAGCCTGGCGAAAGAAGAAAAAAATAGGCTGGACCGGTGTATGCACCGCCGGGGAATCGAACCCCGTCTCACCGCTTTATTGGAGGACGGGCTCAACAAGACGGCGCGTGTTCCATACACCAGCGGTGCTCCCTACCTCTCATTCCAACCTCGCGAGGTTCGTTGATTCAAGGAGTTCTGGTGAAGCAACAAAAGATGGCAAATAAGAAGGTGCATGCACCGCCGGGGAATCGAACCCCGTCTCACCCTTCGAGTTTATCACGCACTTCGATAAGAGGTAGGGTGTGTGTTCCATACTCTAGCGGTAATTTCTACCTCATACTTCAGCCTCCCTAGATTCATCAGTTTCATGAGCCTGGGGCAGGAAAAAAAAGGAACCAACTGGCTACGCCACGCACCGCAGGGGAATCGAACCCCGTTTCACCCTTCGAATTCATCACACACTTCGATAAGAGGTAGGGTGTGTGTTCCATACACTAGCGGTGCTCCCTACCTTCTTATTCAGCGTCGGAAAGTGCGTTCATTTCCTGGGCCTGGCGAAAGAAAAAATTGGCTGGACACGGTCTACATATGCACCGGGGGGGATCGAACCCCGTCTCACCCTGTCAAGTATTGAAGTGCACCAACAGAGGGAGGGTGTGTGTTCCATACACCACCGGTGCTTACTGTTTCCCATTTCAACGTCCCTAGGTCCGTCGATTTGACGAGCCTGGCGAAAAAAGAACGTACACTGGAATGCTCTATGCACCGCCGGGGAGTCGAACCCCGTCTCACCCTTCGAATTCATCATACCCTTCGATAAGAGGTAGGGTGTGTGTTCCATACACCAGCGGTGCTTATTACCTCCCATTTAAGCCTTGTTAGGTCCGTCATTTCAGAGAATCCTGGCAGCGCGAGAGAAAAAACATGAAACCAAACCATGCACCGCCGGGGAATCGAACCCCGTCTCACCGCTTCAAGTTAAAGCTCACCCGGCAAGAGAGCGGTGTGTGTTCCATACACTAGCGGTGCTTAATACCCCTCATTTAACCCTCGTTATGCTCGTCGATTTAGCGAGCCTGGCGAAGGAAGAAAAAGCAGCGTTGCACGAAAGCATGCACCGCAGGGGAATCGAACCCCGTCTCACCCTTCGAATTCATCATACCCTTCGATAAGAGGTAGGGTGTGTGTTCCATACACCACCGGTGCTTCCTCCCTCCCATTCCAACCTCGTTATGCTCGTCGATTTAACGACCCTGACGAAAGGAGGAAAAGAATGTATTCAACGACACGTACATGCACCGCCGGGGAATCGAACCCCATCGCACCGTTAGACCTTCTTCTAAATGATTAAAGGATCGACATGTGTTCCATACACCACCGATGCTTGCTACCTCACTTTTTGGGCTTGTAAAATGTGGTGATTTAACGAGCCTAGCGAAGGAAAAACGAACGTAGACACAGACCATGCACCGCCGGGGAATTGAACCCCGTTTCACCCTTCGAATTCATCACACACTTCGATGAGAGGGAGGGTGTGTGTTCCATACACTAGCGGTACTTACTGCCTCTCAATTCAACCTCGTTAGCTTTGTCCCTTCAGGGAGAGCTAGTCCTGGCAGCGCGAGAGAAAAAACATGAAAACAAACCATGCACAGCCGGGGAATCGAACCCCGTCTCACCGCTTCAAGTTAAGGTTCACCCATCAAGAGAACGGTGCGTGTTCCATACACCAGCGGCGCTTCCCACCTTCCTTCCAAACCTCGTTATGCTCGTCGATTTAATGAGCCCCGGCAGCGTGAGAGAAAAACAGCAAAGACCCAAATGACCATGCACCGCCGGGGAATCGGGAATCGAACCCCGTCTCACCCTTCGATTGTATCACACAGGTGGTGTGTGTTCCATACACTAGCGGTCTGAATTCAGCCTCGTGAAGTGGCTTCATCTTTGGAGCGGATGATAAAAGCCGTTATGAGCGAACCCATGCACCGCCGGGAATCGAGCCCCGTCTCACCGCTTTACTTGGTGATCATCTCAACAAGAGGACAGTGTGTGTTCCATTGCTTCATACCCACTTCCAACTCAGCCTATTTGCAAGTATCACATTCAGATTCAGATCCGTGTCCGTGTGCAGGTCGTATCACCCTCCCGGAACCGCGAGCCCGCCCCGACACAAGTTAGAAACGCCACACTCAAGTTAGAAACGCCGTGCCTTACCGTCTTAAATCGGGATTCACCGTCGTATTTCGGGATTCGCGCCCGACGGCATCGCGCATCGCTGTGCCTAGGCCTAGGCCTGTCAGTGATAGGCGTACACGTATGTGTGAATGCGAGCTCCGTATCACTCGATGGGGTTTACCGTACAAATATCGATGGGGTATATATATAAAGACGGGGAGAGTCCGGAGACACCGGGGTGTAGTATGTATGTGTGAAGGAGGTAAGGCGGGGAGAGGTCCGGACACACCGGGGGGGGCGGGACGGGGCGTGCGTGAGGAGCATTACAAGGCTCCGCGGGGGCGTGGTAGGGCGTGGTAAACGAACGCAAGCGAAGCGGTGACTTGGCAGAAGGTGGAGTGACCAATTGATGGTGAGGAGCGAGACGCCTATCGAGGGTGTAATATTAATATGAACACGGATCTCCGTCCTCGGAGGCTTCTTTTGCCGAAAATAAAATTGCTTATTGAGTTGGTAAAATGGGATGACATCACGGGGACCGGGGCTGTCGATCTTTACCAGTGGTAATAACAGCGCCAAGCAGGGTAATTGTTCACCCGCGTCCGATGTTCGAGGGTGAGATGTGGGCTGGACAAATGGAAAGAAAGCAGAAAGATACGATGCAAGGAAGGCACATGGGAACGGCCAAATGAGGCGATTCCCGTCGCCCCTTGCCACGCGGATCACGGCAACACGGGCTTGATGACACCTTCAAGTTGCCGTGTACACGATACGCCGTGATCCGAACACATCATGCAGGACGTTGGGCTTGGAGCGTGGCTGCGGAATAGCGGGGTTTTGGAGCGTACGTGTGGCATGGCATGTATGTAAGAATAGGTTCGGGCGTTCGGCGATCCTGCCCCCATTTCTCTCCTCTCGAGGGTGGTTCAAGCGCGCAGGTTGCGTAGGCGTGGATCCAGACCCGCTCAGCTGACACGCGCATCAGGGGGCCCGGGCCGGGGCAGGGCAGCGCAGGGTCCCATTTGATCGCGTCGTCTCGTAAATCCTGGGATCAAAAAGCGGAGACTAACGCACGCGCCGGGTAAAGCGGTCGCCGGGCCTTAAGTAGCCGGCCGCCCTTTGTTTTTCGCTCCTTTCTAATCCCTCCCTTCCCACCCGCGCGCCCACAACACTCGACTCATCCCATTGTCCATCGTATCCGAAAGTACAGTCCAAGAGAGATATACTACTAGTAATTGGCGATGACCTCGCTGCACCCGCCCGCCCCCGCCCCGCCCCCGCGCCGCGCTACCCCCCCGCCCCGCCCCAGTACGCCCGCCCCTTGCTTGCGATTACTCATGATGACGACGATTCCAGCAGCGATGGGCCCCTGATCCGCCTGCCGAGCTACAAGGAGCTGACGGCCGCCTCCCAGTGCGACGACGCCGCCGCCTCGTCGCTGCGCGCGGGCCGCTCCAGCCTCTTCACCCAGGGCCTCATCCACCTTCCCCCGCTCCGCGTCGTGCGTCCCCCCTCTCTCTCCGTGCTGCCATCCCTGGCATCTAACCGTCTTTTCTTTACAGCCGAATGCGAATGCCACTGCGAATCAAAGCGGGGCCAAGGCACCAGCGCAGGTGACATCGCCCTCGAGCACCCACGCGAAAACGCGGCGCTACGCCCCGCATGACTCCGACGAGTCCGACTCGGACGCCTCCTCCCACCCCTCCTCCCTCTCGCGCACCAGCTCCTTCTCCAACAGCTCCAACTCGCGCAAACGCGCAAAGTTCCTCGACCTAGGGACACACTGCCCCGCGCCACCCGTCGTCGTCGGGCCCGCTGCCCCGGCGCGGCGCGTGTCGCCGCCCTACCCCAGCATCTCGCCGCCTAATCAGCACGCCCATTCTATTCCGCACGCGAACGGCGGCGCAAGTGGCGGTGGGAACGGCAGCTGGCCGCCCCTGCGCTCGGACTCGTCCCCATCCGCCTCTGCATCTGCCTCCGCCTCGGGCTCGGGCTCGGGATCGCGCACGCCGCCAGGGCCGGGGCCGGGGATGTACCCCAGCGAGGGCGGCGCGCCGCTCTACCACCCGTCTGCGCACCATCAGCAGCAGCAGCAGCACCCCTCGTCTTCGCACCCCCTTTACCCCGCACACTCCGCACACCAGCAGCTCGCTCTGGACCCCTACCTCTCCCACTCCCACCCGCACCCCTCCTCCGCCTCCGCCCACAACCACAACCACAACCACAACCAAGGCGCAGACCCCTACGCCTCCTCCCCCCACCACGCCCACGAATACGCCCCCGCCCCCAAGCTCAAGTTCTCGCACGCAAAGGCCGGCGGGCGCACCAAGAAGCAGGCGCTCAGCTGCTACTTCTGCAGAGAACGGAAGATCGCGTGCGGGCGGCCGGAGGAGGGGATGAGCTGGGCGCCGGCGAGCGTGGTGGGCGCGATTGAGGGGGTGAGGGTTGATGGGGCGGTTGGAGGTGGCAATGGAGGAAGTGGTGCGAATGGGGGAGGAGGTGGGGGTGGGGGGCCGGGGGCTTGCAAGTGAGTGTATTTTCTTTGTTTCGACTTCCTTTCTCGACCCTCCTTCCTACCGTGCTTCCTTCCCTTCACCCGCCTTTCTTCGTCTTCGTACCGGCTTCCTTCACCCGGCCCCCTTCACCTGGCTTCCTTTCTCTCCCGCCCTCACCCCTCCTGCCTCCCTCCCTCCCTTCCTCCCTCCCTTCTCCCTCCCTCCTCGCGCCCTTCCTCTCTTCCTTACCCGCCAAAAGCACCGCACACCGATACTGATCCTCCCTCCCCAGCCAATGCGCACGGCGCAAGATCCCCTGCGTCTACCCCACCGTCTCGCACCGCGGGCAGCACTCGCGCATCAAGAGCGCCGCGCGCAAGCGCGAGGCCGCGAATCAGTACGAGGCCGCGAATCAGTACGAGGCGCAGTCTCAATCTCAATCTCCCTCGCAGGGGCAGTACGACGCGGGGCCGATGGGGATGCACGCGTACGAGGGCGGGGGGAGAGAGGGGTACGCGCCGCAGCAGCAGCAGTACGAGGCAAGGGGCGCGGGGTCCTGATCGTCGTGAGTCGGCTAGCCATTCAATCGACGGATTATCGGTTGTGAATCGGGGGGCTCATCGGGAGTTATTCGGGTCGGGATCGACCATTGGGCGTTTCAGCATGGAGGGCACAAAGGTCCGAGGAGGATTGGGGCGTATTATTTCATGCATATGGCGGGGAGGCGCATTCGCATTCGCTTTTTTTCAGCGCACACACGGCATAGCACAGGCGCGTTTCTCGCATTTTCGCAGTTTTCGAATCGCGCGCGCGAATGGGGGATATGATATGATATTTGGGATAGGATAGGATAGGATATGATATGATACGAGCTGTATATTCGGAGGCTGCACTACGCTATTTACTACAGCTTAACGGGCGGACGAGGCGCATAAGAACGAGACGAGGAACGTGTACCTACGCGGTGGGAACGCGTACCTACCCGTACGCGATGGGGACCCGTATCGTCCCTACCTGTCCCTACGCGATGGGAACGCTTACCCGGAGGGGAAAGAGAGGGTGGGGGCGGCGCCGGTGAATTATCGGGGTAACCGTAAACCTAATCTAAATTTAAATTTGGTACGGACAGGCAGGTGTCAGTGGTCAATCTCTATCAGAGCTTGGTGGACGGGGGTGGAGACGGAGATGGAGATGGGGTGGAGACGAGGGGAATGCCGTTTCGGTGCGAAGCGTTTCGGGGGCGGATTGGGTGATGGGTTTGGGAGATGCATGTTTTTTTTTGTGGAGATGGAGATGGAGTAGACCGGTGACCGTCTGTCGTATCAAAAGTCAACAGTGATACTGTCGAGAGTATCACTTTTGATAGACAGGCTGGTTTCGAGCCTAGGTTGGGAGATGGGGATGGGGAAGGGGGGTTCCACGAGGGTCGAAGTGGATCTCGGTCCACGGCACGACGGGCGAAGTGAGGGCGAAGTTAATGGAGGTGGAGGTGGGGCGGAAATGAAGTCGAGTGAAATAGGATCTCGCAGCGTTGGAAATGAAATGTGAATTTTAACTATTGATTCGAGCCAAACGCGGGTTTTCGGCGGCGGGTTTTTTGTGCCCTTTTGCCTTTGTGCCCCTGGACTAGTAAGTACTCAACCTGCACTGCCTGCTTGGCGAAACGGCAAACGCGCATCACTCCCACGATGCCCGGCCACTGAATCGCATGAACGTTCTTCCGAGGATCAGGATCAGCGTCAGGGACGACGCCGTCGCGGAGGAGCCTCGCGCGGGAGCTGAAGCCTGAAGGAGGAACAGGCTCGAACAGGACTGAGAAGGGGCGTCACATGGGCGCGGGGCGTTCCGCTGATTCTGTGGGTGATGGGGCGATAAAGAGAGGTTGGAATTTTCGCAGGGGAGGTTCGAAAGGGGGGTCCGACGTGGACGCGGAGCGCGTGCGTCATGTGTCAGGGCGCGGCGCGGGGTTTCCCCTTTGGGGTGATACGCAAATTACGGCGCTGCGGCAGCGTGGTTAAAGGCTGTTAAAGGCGGTCATGTGGGAGTCGCGGTGGCGTTGAGCGATGTTC